GTTGAGATTAGGCTGTAGGATCGTCTCTATTACAAACATCCGCAATTAATATATTCAGTCGAAAACTCATTTCAGAATTCCGGGTGCCATTTCATGAGATAGTGAATCTACTGTACTAATGCTCTTAACTTGACCCATATCTGAACATATCGGAAGGTGTTTTGGACAACAGCGGCACTACGTCTTTCTACCAACAAGCATGGTTTGTTTATTTCACTACCATACAAATGTATAGGCCTGAATAGAATGTATCGAAAGCAATCGTATGCTCGCCAATTTATCCTTCATTATTTATTTTTATTGGTTTTAGTTTTTAGTTCATTTAGTTATGTTATAGGGAAACACGATGTTGCTGCTTTCTTACTGGCCTGTCATAGAAGTGAATATGCGAATTTCAAGAAACAATTCAGAAGAAGATGCGATCACTGGAACAAGAGTTTTAATTTTCCTGTCGTTTCAGATTCTGTCGAGAATCATTAATCATAGGTAATCGTAGGATGTTCTGAGAAATGCACATGTCCGCATCCGACACAGACAAGGAAATTGCGGTAATTAATTAGGTGAACGCGAAATTTCAAGTCATAATCGGACCAATTCCGACCCCAAGCGGTGGCTGCAGGAGCTGCAAATTATAGTAGGTATTTGGATGACCGCTATAAACTATAAATACTGTGCAATCCCTATCTGCGCATGTCCCAGACTATCCTACGATTACCTATGATTAAGAATTCGTGGCAGAATCCGAAACGTCAGGATAATGAAACTCTTGTTCCAGTGATCGCATCTTCTTCTTCTTCTCCTTCTCCTGGCCTTTCATAATCAGTCAAATTGGTGTTCATATCAGGCTCTCTTTACCTTTATGAGTCACATTTCTGTACTTCAATCAATCTATCCATTCTATCTCTCTGTCTGTAATATTTTGGAATCCAGACCTCCGGTGTCAACAGCGACAGTGCCAATATTCCCTTTCTCCGCGCTTACGGTCCCTGCTATATGTTCGCTAAGGCTATGCAGACCTTCAACAACCAACTCGACACCAGTCATCCGCCAAATGCGTCCGGCTATCCTAAGCGAGGCGGCAACGCCTTTTCTCCCATCTCCAGCACCCTGCTGTGGGGCGTACAGTCACGTGCCGAGGAGGAGTATCGCATTGCCAGCCTCAAAGCCTACAACATCATCTACGGCGGCACAGGCGGCTTTGGCGACGTGGACACCAACTCACGGCAGCCCTACCAGCATCGGGGTCAGGGT